AATAATAATAATAATAATAATAATAATAATAATAATAATAATAATAATAATAAAATCTAGGGAAATCTTATAATATTTTTCCTAAGGCACAATCCACATCCTCTTGGAAATGAAATTCAATGCAGCTGGAGGATTTAAAAAGTAAGCATAAAGTTGATGGCATTTAAATCATCGTGTCTGCTCTTGGAAAAATGAGCCGGCTATTCGGGTTTTTTGTATTTTAACATCTTGTGGCCTAAAAATATGGGCACTACGTATTTTTCTCCCATTATTTTTTCCTCCTATTACTTGGGGTACTGGAGGCTAAAACATACGAAGAATGGATGCAGGAATCGGGTATGGCTAATTGCGTGAAAAGGAGGACCAGGGGTGACAGGATAGCTGGGCTACAATATTTGAGGGTCTGCCCCAAAAAAGAGGGGGTCCACCTATTCTTCAAAGCACCTAAAGGCAGGATAAGAAGCAACAGGTGGAAGCTAATCAAGGAGAGAAGCAACCTAGAATGGGATCTGGTGAGATTTGAAGTAGGTGCTGGGAGTGAGAATGGGGAGAAGATAGCTGGGGGAGGCATTGCAGTTTTCCTGCAACCAGTCATAAGAATGAAGAACAGCGGGGCCGTAACTTTGGGACTGGGTCGTAAGTAGCTTTTGTGGGGGGGGGGGTCACAAGAGAACTAAGTTGAATTCAGTTGACCCTTATTTAAATCTTAGCAGGGGTGCTGGCTTTTCATCGATAAAGCTTTTAAACGATAAATCAGTTTAATTGGCTCTTCACGTTGTAGGCCTGTCTTTCAGGTCTGACATATCCACATTTTGAAAAAAAAAATGGACAAGTCAATAACATTTCCTAGGTGGAAACAGAAATAAACCAGCAATTTACCTGATGGAACACAGGCTGCTTCCAGTTTAGGTAGACCTGCAAAAAAAAGCAAACACGAGATATGGTCATCTGCTTGGGATTAATGGATAAACAATCGGAGGGGAAAGTCAGGGTTGTTTTCATATAGGACAAACTGCAGCAATATTATTTTATGCACAAAGATGGATATACGGTATATGGCAACACCCACAACAGAGGGAATGGTTGGTGAAGAAGACCGAGCTTGCTGAGAAGTTCAAATTGGTCTGTACGGTTAGAGAGAAGACAACGTCTGGGTTTACTGGTGTGACTGGAAACCTTTTATGGTATTTTTGCATTTTAAAAAAAAATACAAAACTTTAATGCTTTTGATAATTAAATGATGTAACTTTAGAGAGAGGGGTATTATTGTATTTATTACTGCTGTAAAGATCAGAAGTCACTTTTTTAATCACTATTTTTCCCTCGTCTATTTTTTTCGCTAATCTTTTTCCTTTTGGTCCCTTTTAGTTTTTCCTTTTCTTTCTTTCCTTTTTCCTTTGTCATTCTATTTCAGTTAGCGTTCGTCTTATTCTTCCATTTAACATTTTCAATCAAATTATATGGTTTTTGTTTTTTTTTACTCCTCGCAGTAGAGATATGAAGAAGTCAAACCTCCTTTCTTCCTTCAGCATTAGGGAACACGCAGTTAGCAAACCATCAATCCATCAAACCAGCAATCGTCAGCAATCCAGCAGGTTCTCTTGCTCCCTCATACGGCGGTTCACAACCGCACCCAAAATTACATGCTTTGCAGTTTAAAGCGACATACTATCATAGTTCATATATATTATTTTACCCAAACTACATTAGGTAACCTTGTTATTCCTAACATATACCAGCGATGGTTTTCAAAGCTGGGCTCTGAAGAAGCAGGAGTGTCAGTGGTTTTGAACGTTGGAGTGCCTTTTGGTTAATGAGAAACTGTATACACTGAATTATAAAGCAACCGATATTAGAAGAAAGCAGATTATCATATAAGGAACTGGAAGCTAAAACATACGATGGACGGTTGTAGGAACTGGGCTTGGCTAGTCTAGAGAAGAGAAGGACCAGGGGAGACAGGATAGAAGAGGTCCAATATTTGAGGGGCTGCTACAGCGAGGAGGAAGAGGTCAAGCTATTGTCCAAAGCACCTGAAGGTCAGACAAGGAACAATGGATGGAAACTGATCAAGGAGAGATTCAACCTAGAAATAAGGAGAAAATTTCTGACAGGGAGAACAATCAACCCATGGAACAGTTGTTGCCTTCAGGAAGTTGTGGGAGCTTCATCACTGGAGGCTTTCAAGAAGAGATTGGACTCCCATCTGTCAGAAATGGTGTAGGGTCTCCTGCTTGGGTGTGTGTGTGTGTGTGTGTGTGTAATAATGACCTACATGGTCCCTTCCGACTCTGATTATCTGTTACCTGTTATCTTATTTTGGACAAATTGCATGAAAATCTAATTCTGTGGAGAAGTCTATAAGGCTAGGAAAGGTGGGGAAGGAAAAAAAGGATGACCAGAAGCGAGGTGGATAGATTTGAAGACAGTAGCGAGTGTACTGGTTGTCCTCAACTTACAACAGCTCACTTAGTGACTGTTCAAATGACGACGGCACCGAAAACAAGTGATTTACGACCATTTTTCCCAGTTACGACCTGGGCAGCATCTCCATTGTCATACGACCAAAATTCAGACGCTTGGAAACTGGTTCATACATACGACGGTCGCAGTGTCCCTGGGGTCACGTGATTCCCTCTTGTGACCTTCTCGACAGGCAAAGTCAATGAGGAAACCAGATTCACTTAACAACCGGGTGACTCACTTGTCAAGGGCAGTGATTCACATGACAACTGTAGCAAGGAAAGTCGTAAAAGGAAGCAAAGCTCACTCAACCAATGTCTCAATATTCATGAACCACAGGAAATTTTGGGCTCAACTGTGGTCGTACGACGAGGACTGGAAAGTCTAAAAAAGAGAGATCCCTAATCCTAGACCATATCCCTCTATGTGGACCACTTGGAACCGGGCCGTGCAAGCGGGGGGGGGAGGGGGTGAGCGCGCACAGTGTTGTGGCCTGCTAGCGGCCAGCCGAGCTGCCGGCAAATTCAGACAGTGAGGAGGTTGGGGAGGAAACTGGGCTGGTCCTGGAGTCTGGGGAAGGCTCCGACGAGGGCTCTGCATCGGAGGCAGAGATGGGTCCGGGGCCGTCCGACAGTTATCAGCTGCCTTCGGAGTCGGAGATCAGTGGGGCAGAAGAACATCTGGAGCCTGTTCCCAGTGTGCGCATGCATAGAGCTGCCAGAAGAAGGGAACAGCTAAGGAACAAGGGTCGACTCAGGAGTAAAGCCACAAGTGGATGGTGAATGGCCCCTCCCCTAGGGAATAAAGAGGGAGCGAAAGGGGATTGGGGTTTGCAGGAGACAATTAGTTCAATTCATTAGAGTGAAAAATCTGTTCCTGACTTCTTATCAAGTCATTGCTGCTACAGCGTGGCATTTGGAGGATATCGGCCTGGCAACTCTCCAAGCCTGACCAAGGTCTGTAGTTGTGAAATCTCATGAAAGACTGTTGGCCGGGAACTTTGCTGGAGAGGAATTCCCTTTGACCTAAATAAAGGGGTTGTTATCAGCTTCATGATCTTGGGAAGATTAGGTCAGAACACACGTGAGTGGTAGGCACATGGGCGACCACGCCAAGGTCAATTTGCCTGCGCAACTGGAGCGGCATATGTGGAACCATCCCTCCCCCCGACCCGCCGAAAGCCGGAAAGGTTGGGGACTGCTCATCAAAAGGACTAGAGTGAGGATAGGTCACCTGGAGAAATTCTATGTGATTGCTATGATTAGGCAGGGATTTGATGACATATAATATTGGAGGAATATGTGATGTGGAAGGCATAGAAGGCCCATGGAGAAAGCAGAATAAAGTAGAATCTGGACAGTGGCATAAATACAGGTCAACTATCCTTTCTGCCTCTCCTATAAAAGTCTACTTGTCTTGGTCAGGGATCGGCAATCTGCGGCTCTAGAGCCTCATGTGGCTCTTTCAACCCTCTGCTGCGGCTCCCTATCGTCACCATAATTTTGAGAGGAGCTTCCGGGGTTTTTTTTAGAGGGGGGGGGAGCACGGCGTGCCATGAGGAAACTCTATGGCAAGGGGCGGGTTTTCTGGTCGGCTCCACAATTGATAGGGCTTTTGGTTAGAACAGGTAGAGGAAAAAGGACGCCGCCTTAGGAAGAGACTCTATGGTGGGGTAACAGGCCTTCCGGTCAGCTCCATAATTGAACGGGCGGCTTCTGGTTAGGACTTTTGTGGCTCTTTGAGTGTTTAAGGTTGCCGACCTCTGGTCCTAGGTAAAGGTAAAAGTTTCCACTGTCCAGTCATGTGTGACTCTAGGGGGCGCTACTCATCCCTGTTTCTTAGCCGAAGGAACCACCGTTGTATGAAGACACTTCTGCGGTCGTGTGGCCAGCCAGACTATACCCCAAAGGTACACAAGAATATTGCTACCTTCCCACCGAAGTGGTACCTATTGATCTACTCGCATTTGCATGCTTTCGAACTGCTAGCTGGGCAGGAGCTGGACCAAGGGACGGGAACTCGCCTCACTGTGCAGCACTCGGGTCTTGAACTGGGGCTGTCCAGATGACAAGCTCAGCAACTTTAACTGCTGAACCATCCCTGATACTAGCTGGAAGGAAAGCACAGGCAGTTCTTGGCTTACCACCACGACCGAGCCCAAATTTTTCATTGCTAAGTGGAACCCTTGTTAAGTGAGTTTTGCCCCATTTCACAACTTTTCTTGCTGCAGTTGTTAAGTGAATCTACATAGTTGTTACATTGATTAACCCAGTCGTTAAATGAATCCGGCTACCCCACTGACTTTGCTTGTCAGAAGGTCGCAAAAGGGGAGCACGTGACCCCAGGGACACTGCAACCGTCATAAATACGAAGCAGATACCAAGTCTCTCAATTTTAACCATGTGACCCTGGGAATGCTGCAACTGTGGAAGGTGTGAAAAATGGTCATAAAAGTCACATTTTTCAGTGCCGCTGTAACTTTGAAGGGCCACTAAATGAATGGTTATAAGTCGAGGATTACCTGTACATTTAAAGAGGTGCATTTCCTGTGAACCTGGAAGGATTTGCAGCAATCATAAACTAAAATATACCTAAGGAGATGACACCTTAGGACAGGGGGTCTTCTAACTTGGCAACTTTAAGACTTGTGGACTTCAACTCCCAGAATTCCTCCTCCAGCCATGTTAGCTCAGGAATTCTGGGAGTTGAAGTCCACAAATCTTAAACTTGCCAAGTTTGAAGACCCTTGGAATGAACAGATAGATAGATAGACAAGACAGACAGACAAGAAAGACAGACAGACAGACAGACAGATAGATAGATATAGACAGAGATGGAGATAGAAGATAGATACTGTAGATCAGGGGTCTTCAAACTTGACAGCTTTAAGACTTGTGGACTTCAACTCCCAGAATTCCTCCTCCAGTCATCTTAGCTCAAGAATCCTGAGAGTTGAAGTCCACAAGTCTTAAACTTGCCAAAATGGAAGACTTGTGCCTTAAGACAATATTTCTCAACCGTGGCAGCTTAAAGATGTGTGAACCACATGCTGGCTGGGGAATCCTGGGAGTTGCAGTCCATATATCTTCAAGGCTGAGAAACACCACCTTAGACCAATATTCTCCATGCTGGCTGGGGAATTCTGGGAGTTGCAGTTCTCATATATTTTCAAGGTTGAGACATGTTGCTTTGGAGGGCACCAAACTACAGAGAAGCCCAACTGTGTCCTTCTTTATTACTTGGGCCACATTTTACTCCCTTCTTCTTCTTCTTCTTACTTCCCCTCCCCAATTTGCTAGGACGATGCCCAGACATTCACTGGCCAGGTTGACATTACGCTATTGACTGAGTCACTCATTTTCCGGCCTTAATCAAAAGTTGAACTAATTAGTCATTAACTAAAGAGGCTGAGTTAGCCCAATGCACACATACATATACACACACACACCCCAAATTAATCATGGTTCACATTAAACAAGCTCTGCGAAGGCAGCTGATAAATCTTCAGTTTAGTTAACCATGCTGAAAGCAAAACCAGTTAATCAGGAAAATGTCTGACAGGGACGGAATGGAAGGGATCTGGCAAGGGGTTAGATCCTCGCAAGGGATCTTGCGAGGTTACGATTCTCTTCCGACAGACCGCAGATCAATTTTTTTTTTTTCCAACCTCTGCAACTTTTAGGCTAGGTGGACTTCAACTCCCAGAATTCTTCGGCCCGTCATGGCTGTCTAGGGAATTCTGGGAGTTGAAGTCCACCCAGTTTAAAATGGAAGAGGTTGAGGAACAAAGCTACAGATGCTTCGCGTTTGGGAAAATTTACCACTGCGGCAATAAAAAAACAAAAAAACAAAAACAAAAAATGCTTTCAGTACAGAGTGGTATGGAACAATCATTCGTTTAGTGACCGTTCAAAGTTACGACGGCGCTGAAAAACAGGGACTTATGACCCATTTTTCACAGGGCCAATGCAGCATCCCCATGGTCACCTGATCAAGCTTTTGAGGCTTGGCAAATAGTTCACATTTACAACAGCTGCAGTGTCCCCTGAGTTGTGCAATCTCACTTTTTGTGACTTTCTGATAAGTAAACTCAACGAGAAAGCCAAATTCCCTTAACAACTGCGTCCCTGACTTAACGTCCGCAGCGATTCGCTTGGGGTGCTCACATTGCAGCCCTGGTCAAAAGGGCCCAGCAGAGATTATACTACCCGAGACTTCTCAGGAAACAACAACTGAATTAAAAAAAACTGCTTGTGACCTTCTACCGCTGCACCATGGAGAGTATCTTAACTTACTGCACCTCTGTATCTGCCCCAATTGCACAGGGGCAGATAGGACAGCACTCCAGAGGGTTAATGTCGTTGCCCAGAGGATCACGGGTTGCCCTCTCCCCTCTTTGGAAGAGCTTTATAGCTCCCGCTGCCTTAAGAGAGTTCAGAACATCCTCAAAGATCCATCTCATCCTGGGCACCCCCCCTTTTTTTGAACTATTACCCTCTGGCAGATGGTACAGGAGAATAATAAAAACAAGGGCAAAAAGGCTGAAAAACAGCTTCTATCCCAGGGCAGGAACTCTATTGAATTCTACTATATAGTGCAATATCAGGGGTTTTCAATTTAATGCATGGAATGTGAAGGATGTGTGTTTGTGTTTATTTTCATAGTCATAATGTACACTGAAGTTGGCATTTAATTTCATTGTATGAGGTGCAATGACAGGACAGGACAGGACAGGACAGGACAGGACAGGACAGGACAGGAAAGGAAAGGAAAGAAAAGGAAAAAGGAAAGGAAAGGAAAGGAAAAAGGAAAGGAAAGGGAAGGGAAGAAGGGGAAGGGAAGAAGGGAAGGGGAGAAAGGGAAGGGGAAGGAAAGGAAAGGAAAGAGATGAAAAGGAAAGGAAAGGAAAGGAAAGAAGGAAGGAAAGGAAAGGAAAAAGGAAAGGAAAGGAAAGGAAAGGAAAAAGGAAAGGAAAGGAAAGGAAAGGAAAGGAAAGGAAAGGAAAGGAAAGGAAAGGAAAGGAAAGGAAAGGAAAG